GGTTGTTTTTATACACGTTTTACTTTTACACACTGTCTTCCCTCGACTTTAAAAACTTTCATCATCTTTGTCTGTTGACATCAACACAAAGAATGACTCATCGTTCTGCAGCTCGTCTGGTCCGGAAGGAGAAGTAAACATGAAGCAGTCAGAATTACTCAACTGAGAGGACAATTCTGAATAGCCGAGGAGCGTCCAGCAGTGGTAACACAGGCACGACAACTTGTAAATTTCACACACAGGATTGATGTTGTGGTGCAAAAGCCCTAAACACTTTTTGTTTGAGTTCACCCAAAGAAAAACAGCAACGTCACTTTATTTCACTCGTGAAATTGAGTTCCTGACTTTTAATTTCATGGATGAAAATGAAAAAGCGACACAAATCAATTTCCTGCAGTACAGTCATAGGGTAACAGATTGTGCCCCGTAGGTTGAGGCCAGCTTTCTGAAGGAAAGGAAGAGCATGGACTGAATCGGGAAGAAATATGCTGATTTGCATGCATAACCTTTCTGTTCACAATTTAAAGGAACAGTGAGGAAAATGAATCCCACAAACTCTCTTTGAATGTGAGTGAGCCACAAACACAAACATGAGCATGGAGATAATGAGTAAGAGCAGTGTAAATGAGGGTGCTCTCCTTGCGTAGTGTTGCAGGTCTGCCATTAGATGTCAGTGGATAAAAAAAGACATTTTGCAAGTCTTAAGCAAGCAGCAAATTCTGTAGCAGACAAATGAAACCAACACTGAGGTGCCAAAAACTGCAGTTCCTCAAATGGCCACTAGAGGCTGTCTCTAGCAGTGAGTCAATCTCCATAAGGCCCCCATATTAAAATGCCCAACTTTTACAGCAGAAATAAACATGTTTACAGCCTTGTACAAAGGCTGTTTTAATCTCTAAAACTAAATTTCTCATTCATGTCAACTGTACGGGGGGTTAATTTTCATTTAAATTACATTCAGGCTTAAAGCGAACGACTTTGACAGGACTGCCAAGATGGCTGCACCCTCTAAACATCAGCATGTTAACATTGTCATTGTGAGCATGTTAGCATGCTGACATGAGCATTCAGCTCAAAGCGCGACTGTGAGCCTCACAGAGCTGCTGGCATTTGTTTTTCTTGTTAAAGTTTGCATTTACTGGTTTCAAATAAACTTAATGACATTCATAGCTATATGAAATGTATTCATATGATACAAACAATTACAATTATCTGTCATATGCATGTTTCCGTCTGTTTTTTGAGAAGCACAGCAGACTGTGCTGGTCTGTACTGGTTTTCCGGCTCATACATCATTGGCTGCTTTCTAAGTGATTCCAATCGTCTCTCGCAGATGATGTCAGTTGATTCGCTGCACTTTTGTTAAATCATTATTTTTAATCTTTGGGATTGGGCAGGATATCAAGTCATTCCAAGCTAAAAGGCTAAAGTCCAAGTGAAGTCACGAGTCATGCGTCGAGTCTTTTTTGATTTTATCAGGTCTGAAGTCCAAGTCATGTGAACTCGAGTCACGGCTCCTTTTTGAAAAAGTTTGTCGCTGGCTGAAATGTTTAAGTCTTGGCTATGAGGGGGCACATGGGAGATATGGAGGACTGATGAAAGGAGTGAGAAGGAGGGTAAGCAGGAGTGTTGATGTTAGCCAGCCTTTTCATGCTCACACAGACGTTAATGCAGTAGGTGGACGGGGAGAGGTACAGGCTGGTAGGACATATGATCTGGGAAGAACTGATGAATCTGAGGGGGGGGTTGAGATTTGAGCCCAGAGCCGCCACGGTGTCTCTTTCAACTGCCTGTCCAGGATGTGAGAAGGCGACCTGATTGGCCCGACAGGAAGTCCTGGCATCTGGGAACCATGGAGGGAAAGAGGGCATGTGACCTCCACTCACCACCAGCTTTCCCAAATCTTGTTAGCACAGATAGCTGGCTCCGGGGTCATTTCCCAGTTTCCCAAGGTTCCAAGGGAGATTAGTTCTCCAGCGGGGCCGTCATCCAAGAGGACGGGTGACAGATTCACAGGCTGATCTGGCCTATTAGGCTCGGATAAGGAGCCAAAGCTCAGACCCCCGAGCACACCGACACACATCACCTCTGATGAAATCAACCTGCATCACTGAATTCAGCCCATAACCAATACGAAAACCACGAGTGAGATGGAATTAGCCCATTCAATCTAGAATTACTCCACAGAAACAAATGCCATTGTTCCTTCTCTAATGTCTGCAAAGGAAATGGATCAAATGCTCTTCAGTAAGAATAAAAAGGAATTAGCTCATGACACAAGTTTAAGCTTCACTTCTTTACTGTCCAGCCTTTTATTCTAAAGTGCTTGTGGTGACTGAAGCCAAATGTTTTTGCGGGTTTATTCACATCTCTGTGATGCCAACAGTGCAGTGATGATAATAAAGATGGAAGCACAATACTGACTAAGAAATTCCTAATTATTTCCAGTTATAAATGTGTAAATAACTTTGTCTTATTCTACTACATGTGTACTACAGGCTCTTCCTGAAAGCTCTTTCTTTGTGTCCTGCCACCTCTCTTCTGTCCACTGTTGAATAAAAAAAAAGACAAGGCGCCCTCAAAACAAAAAATCCTGTCTCCAGATGATTCTGCTCCAATCATCACATTTTGCCAGCACAAAAAGGGAAAAGAAAAACACCAGCCATTAGAGGGTGGAGT